GGTGTTCGCTCCCTACACCAATCATTGTAATTTACTGATTTCATCAATTGTAATTTTTAACTTTCAAGCAATCAATGATCAATTTACTTTCAATGCATCTCAATTTTAAGTTGCAAGCTTTTTACAAATTGTAATCAAATTCTTTTGTCCCGAAATGACCGAAAGAAGGCGGAAGGTAGTCTAGCGGAGCAGATTACTGCCGCGCGGTGTCCTTTTTTGTGCCAAAAAGAAAGACACCCCGTGAAACTCGGACTTGACAAATCAAAATATATCATTAAAGAAAAAGAGACGTGTTATTTAATTCAATCAAACGTAGGCAAAGATATTGTTTTAACTTCTTACTTTTTGTGCAGAATTAAATGAAAATTAAAGAAAACAACAAGAATGAGTTTCGAGAAATGGACGTCTGTAGTTAAAACGTTGTCTATTCCGTAAAATATGTGATTAAAATTAATTATTGATTTTGAATTTGATAAAAATCTAGATTATACTTTCCATCAAATAGGGTAATTTATAATATTGTCGTTTTCCATTCGATTTACATATATAATATACACTAATTAAAATAAATTCATTGTAGATGAAATAGAAGACAAAAACTAACTTATACGTCAATAATATTATAAATAAAAGAAATAGGAGTTAATACCCCAAATAGTTACTGAACTTTGTCAAAACTTTCCAAAAGGTCACCGAACTTCAAAACTTCCCTAATTAGTCACTGAACTTTGCAAAAAGTTCTTAGGAGGTTACTAAATTTCAAAACTATCCTAAACAGTCACTGAATTTTACTAAAACTTCCTAGGAGGTCACCAAACTTTGCAAATTGAGACCATATACATCAATGATTTAGTGACCCCCTAGAAATTTTTTGCAAAGTTGAGTGACTAATTACGGTAGTTTTGGAAAAGTTCAGTGACTATTTAAGATAGTTTCGAAGTTCAGTGATCTCCTAAGAACTTTTTTCGAAGTTCAGTGACTAATTAGGGAAGTTTTGAAGTTCAGTGACCTCCCGGGAACTTTTAGCAAAATTTAGTGATTATTCAGGGTATTAACCCAATGAAATAGTGACAATTTTATTTATGTAATTTGATTTTTAAATAAAATATAAAAATAATTTATACATCCTTTTAAAATTTTATTATTTATTTGGGACTTGTTTGTATTTTTTTCGTAAAAAAATGACACTACAATTACAATTGATTCTTTATTTATTTTATTTTTTTGTTTTCTTTAAAGAAGAGATAAATTCATCATTTCCCAAGGATTTACTTAGAAAATGGAGGAAAATGTTGTATTCCACAAAGAAAAATCATATAGGGGAATTTTTCACCAAAATCAAAGAATGTGGAATATTCCACAATAAAAACAAAGTTTAGGGATATTTTGTGCCAATTACCTATATCTAATCATAATTGTGGAGTACTTCACATTACAAAAATGTCTAGTTCAGGTTTCTTGCTGTCCTCTTCAAAATAAGCTATAATTTTTATTTTTGGGCCGAAGGTCCAAACCTTTAAATAAATGTGCAGGGCGAGGTCCATTGAGCGATTTCCATCTGTTAGTTGAGCAACATATAATAATTTGACTAATTTACAGAAGGACAAAATATATTTCGATATTATTTCATTTAAAACAATTAAAATGGTTAAAAAGAGACAAAAAAAAATTAAAAAAATATATAAAATAAATAAATAAATAATTCTTCTCCACCTAAACCCTTCTCCCACCCTGCCTACCACCGCCATCCCACCCACTGCCCGAACACATCTCCAATCCGGCAATTGGCTGTGCTAGATCCTCGCACCACCCATCTTCTCATCCCCAGCGAAACCAATCAAGGACATCTACTTTCGCTAAGAAACCAGAGATCTGGGACCCTCTTGTACTCTTTTATATATGTTGCCTCTCCCTGGCCCATGGTTATTATCCTTGTTAATAATCAAATGATTGTATATGTCTTTTTGTCTCGTCATTGGGTTAGGCTAGATTACGTATCATGAAAGTGATGAAAACATCCTCCATATGGTCACAATCCCTTTTCATTGACAGTTTAAACTTTGACATCATTCCCAGCAACAGTCGTGAAACCATTTCAGAAACTCTGGTTTCGCCAAGAAACCCGATATCTAGTCTAATTCCATGCTAAACAAGACGAAATTATTTGGTTTCATGATGAAACCATACTTCGCAGTGAAACTAATTCAAGGGGCCGGCGGTGCCGACGTAGAGGTGAACTAGGAGAGCGGGGTGTAGCGAAGGCAAACAAGGCGGGAGTGGAGTTGTGGTGTGGTGAGGGGCACGCAAATAGTGGGGATTATCCCCTCCCCGACTACACTATAGTGGGGCGTTGCCATTGTAAGGTAGGGGGAGAATTTTTTTTTTTTTTAAAAAAAATTAAAATTTGTTAATCAATTCTTCGATATTTTTTCATGTTTTAAATGATATAAATGAAAAATACCATCTTACCCTTCTATAAATTGGTCAATTTTTCATCAATATAGAACTTGTGGATCATTTGACGGTTTTCTTGACGGAAACCGTTCAAGGACCTTGCCCTACATATTTATTTAAAGGTTTAGGACTCTGATCAAAAATATGAAAGGTTTGGGATCCATTGCACCTTTTTTTAAAGCTTTGAACCCCTAATGCAATTTACCTCATTTTCTAACACTACGTCATCACACATTATTTTTTTGACCAATTAATTACACATCATTTGGCTTGTCCAATTCATATAACTAATTTTGTTAATTGAGATCATGTGATCTAATTATTTTTTAAGGTCCAATAAACACAAATCTTATGAATATTCTCTAACGACTTCTAATCCTATTTTAAATTTAATAAAAGACATAAAGAATTAATATATGAGGCCTGCTACAAGTACATGCCACTGTTTCACAGGTGGCTACCAGGTCAGACACATGGGACGGGGGCCACAATTTTTTTTTTTTTTAATACATTGGGATGAGGTCGGCGCTACAGTGAGGGGTCCTATAAGACCCCTGTACTTGGTGAATTACTCTTAATATATACAAGACACGTCAAAACTATAATTTAGAGATATTATTCATAAAATTAGGCATATCTGGCAATTGGATCTTATCAAGGTACTGTAGATTTGAATTGAATATTTAGCAATATTGGGTCAAATTCATAGATAAAATTATAAGTATTTAAATTAGTTATCCATAAGATTCTTGAAGCAGTCAAAAAATGTTGATTTAAATTAAAAAAAAAAAAGCTAAATAAAGATTAAAGTATCTTTTGGAATATAAATATTCATTAAGATTAGGAAAGGGGCTTAAAAACAAGGGTAATGTTATTTAATATCACTGAGGTTACAACCTCAATTTAAGTAACGTTAATGTGACATTAAATTATATGTAAAATTAATTTTCATTTAATATATTATCTAGTGCCATCTAGAATGAGATTGAAACCCTAGTGGAGTTACATAACATTACTCAAAACAATATGTAAAAAAAATCAGTCTAAATATCATAATGTGATAGACTCAATTAAAGGTGGAGTTATCAATTATGCGATTCATTTAATTGTCTATCATTTAATGCCACTTATGTGTCACCTATACTGATTTTATAATGTGGTACTAAATATCATTACTCTTAAATGGTAATTAGTACATAATGTCATAGACCTTACTATTATTGTCAAAACATTCATACTTTTCATTTTTTAACATTTTTACCCTGCACATTTGATTCCACAAACCATTATTTCTATCAATTTTTATCTAATTTCTCAATAAAAACAGTGAAATGAAGAATATACAGTCCTATTTAAATATAACCAAAAAATATATACTCCCTCCATCCCAATTATATAGGCATGTTTAGTTTTTCACACGGATTAAGAAAGCTTATTTAATGTCATTGGAAAATTAATTTTTGCCAAAATTTTTCCTAGTTTGCCCATATTTAATTTTCAGTGTGTAAATCTGAATTATTGTTGAAATTAATAAAGAATTTGAATTTTCAAGAAATTTGCTTATCAAGTGGGAAAATTTAATCAGTATATATTAGTAAAAGAACGCAACAAAATATTATATATTAAGAAACAAGCCTATATATTTGGGACAAGAGAAAAATGAAACTAATCATATATAATGGAGGAAGTATATTTTTTTCGAATTTTTTTAAATAATTTATTTTGCACTCTTTTGTACTTTTTAAATTTTTTTTAATTTCTAATATTAAATAATTTATTTGCAACTCGTTTGCACTTTTTTTTTCAAAAAAATAATAATTTATTTTGCACTCGTTTGCATTTTTTTTTAAAATTTGAAACTGTAATTACAATTAATTCTTTATTTTTTTTAAATTTAAATAAGAGAGTATATTTGTCATTTCACAATTTTTTATTGAAAAATTGGACGAAAATAAATAATAATAATAATTTGCACAATCAAATGTGTAATTAAAGGTAAAAACACCAAAAAATAAAATGTATGAACCTTTTTCACAACAATAGTAAAAAGTTAAAACATTATGTACTAATTACCCTTTTACTAAATTATTAGAGACTCGTTTGCACTTTTTTTTTTAAAGAAAAAAATAAAACTATAATTGCAATAAGTTCTTTCTTTTTCTTTTTGTTTTATTAAATAGAATGGTTTCGTCAATTCATAGCTTTTTATTGAGAAAACTTTTGCACAATGAAAAATGGAAATAAGGATGAAAATGTCAAAAAATGAAAGGTAATGACGTTTTTCGCAGTAATGGTAAAATGTAAAAATGTTATGTGGTAATTACCCCCATATGCAGATACATAGTTCAAAATCCATTTATTCATTCAAAGACTGGTTCCAAGAAAACTTGCACGTACTTTAGTTCTCCAGAATACTGTTGATGTTAAAATGGAAAACATAAATTTACTTTAAAATTAATTGACATCCTTCTGGTTTAAGCTAATTTCAAGAAATTCTTGCCCACGAATACAGGCAATAAATACTTCCAGACGGTTTGATATAGTACTCAAATGCGATACCTGTTGCGGTCCCTGTCACGATCTCGCTCCCGTCCATATTCTCTATTTCGATCGTAGTCGTAACCACGATCTCTATCTCTCTGTCTATCCCGTTCCCTGCTCCTACTCCGGTGCCTATCCCTCTCCCTATCGTCTCGCTCCCTTCCCCTGTCTTTACTTCTCTCTCTTTTATCCCTGTCAACTGTGCCTGCCAATAACTTTGTTTAAAGTTTCATACAAGAGTATGATCGACTAGAAAATAGGGAAACAAAAATTGTATAATATAACGGGCAATATATGAGAGTAAGAATTAATGCAGATGCAGTAAAGGATCAAATATAACAATCCATGGAAGGAACCAATGCTTACATAATTACTACACTAAAAGAGAGAATATCCATACATCTTGCCTTTTAATACATAATTAGGCTATATACAAAAACAACTATGAAAGTTCATTAACCTCACAAATAAGTGTTAAAAGGTGTACTCACTACAAAATTAGGTATGTTATAGTTGACCCTATTATTAAGTTAAAAAAGCAGCAGTTCCACGCATTCTTGAAGATGCTACAGGAATGTCATGGTTGCTGGAGAGAATAAAGATGTCTAATTGGAAGAATCGTTTTGGGGCACTCCATGACAGACTTACAAAGGAACAACATGATGCAAGCCTGCAAGGGAGTCTCCCAAACCTAAGGGCAAAACTTCATAATAACCTTAAGCTTTCTCGTGGAGATTACTTTAATTTACCTAGAGGTGTCTCAGGTATCCACCAATTAAATAGAGAAGGTGTTAAGGCTATCTTCAGAAAGATGCTTTCAGCTTCCTCAGTTAAAATCTTTAAATCTTTTTCTTTGCTTATATAAACTAAATAAAGTGTTTGAATGTCCTCTCTTTCCTTCGTCTATCATTTCGTTCTGGTGGGGTATGTTATTTATCTGTCCCCTTAGTTATGAAATAGCATAACACAATCCAATCCTGTCAAGCTTTTCTGCTAGAGCCTTCAGCCTGCCTAACAAAGTTATGCAGCATCAAATTCAGAAATTAGAACAAACAGATAAAACTGTTTCACCTCCCTGTCCAAACAAGCTAATAATGCCTAAAAAATAGGTTTCTCAAGAAGTCCTCAATTAGAAGAGATTGTCAATCTTTTAGAATGCACCTCATCGGGTCAAAAAGTCCTCAATTAGAAGAGATGGTCAATCTTTTAGAATGCACCTCATCAAGTCAAAATGAACTTTTTCATTGACCAAATCAACAGGCCCTCTGAGCTGCAACAGAAGATTAACTTTTTCTCAGCCTGGGGAATTACTTTGCTGTTGTCACCTATTGGGAAGAAAGTACTAACATGGAAATTACTTTGTAGCATGGTCTTTTGGGAACAAAATACTCAAAATTTCTATGGAAACAGTTCACTATGCCAAACTGGCCTGATAACTAAATACCATATAACGCCAGAAATTTGTCTCCCTTGTAACACCTAAGATTTCAAAAGAGATACCTCCATTGCTCTACATATCTGCTGGCTGGGAAGTAACCCACAAGGTCCACCAATAATGAAACACCTCATTCTCAAACAAAGCCAGGTCGGTTTGCCCACAAAAAAAATATGGATGCCAAACTTATCGCTTTTTGTATCTCACTTTACCATTTTCTTCTTTTTCTGTTGAGACAAGACAGGGAGGCGCACTAACATCAGGCGTACTTCATGCTTCAAGCATCATATTGTATCGTGGAAATAGTTTTCCATCTAAGAACATAAAGCACTACTGCCTATAGAGTCAAACCTTCAATTTTGAACTACTCTTACAGAAGTTCCCAAGTTTTTCCTTTCTACTCTTTTTCAGCATATGACTGGAGAATTAAATTACAAAGTAAAATCGCCAAGAGTATAAATGCACCAGAAAAATCATGTAAGGAACACTTACGGCTGGGTTTCTATCAAAATATAGCAAGAAAATACCCAACCTTCAATTTCACAGCAAAATGTCAGATTTTCTTTAAAAACACTATCGTGGACTTACATTGGGAGATGGGAGGTGGCATGGGGGTAGCACCATGGGTGAGGACTTTCTTTATTATTTTTTCTTTCCTTTTTTCCTTCCTTTCTTTTTCCTTTCTTTTTATTTTTCATTAAAACTGAGTGTTTTAACCATTTTACTCAAGAAATCAAACATGTGATGCAACATGACATTTTAAAGTCCAAATAAAAAGAAACCGTACATTGGGACCAACTTGCTACATTAATACCAGGTTGACAATTCACTTGCTACAAATTAAAGGTTAGAAACCTACTTACTACATTTCGCATGGGTCGGGTAGAAAAGAAAGGTAAATTTTCAATCATATAGTTTCCAACAGTGGTGTTGCGTTCATCTTAGTCTAGATGATGGTTTCCCGAAAATGCAGCCTCATCTACAATGTGAACGTGCATCTATGTTTAAAGTTTGAAAGAAACTGCAGAGATGGGTTGGGTAAAAGAATTAAAGGTTAGAAACCTACTTACTACATTCCTCATGGGTTGGGTAGAAAAGAAAGGTAACTTTCCAATCATATAGTTTCCGACATTGGTGTTACGTTCATCTTAGTCTAGATGACAGTTTCCCAAAACTGCAGCCTCATCTACAACGTGAACGTGCATTTATGTTTAAAGTTTCAGAGAAACTGGAGAGATGAGAATACTATACAAGGATACACAAACAAATTGTTTTTTTTCCCTAAAAGTAGTGTACGAAAGTAAAATACGTAAAATAATTAAGCACACATGTCCTGCACCATGTATCCACAAGTTTCTTCGCCTCTTGATATTTAAGTATTCACGTATGGACAATATCCATAAATCTTACAACTACTGTCAGAAGAATAAAGGGCATTATAAAGATTTCATGGATAGAAGACAAACGCATCATTCCAAGGTAGTATTATTTCCTATTTCTAGTTAGTTTTCCCATGGCATACAACATATAAACTAAAGAGCTCTTTCATATTGACAGACACAAACTACTGAAGAAATCACTTGTTGTGGTTTAAAAATGAGAGAAAATTTTGCTAACAGATGGCAAATTATTGTTAAGAAAGTCATCCCAAAAACTCAAGTTCAAATAGATTCCAAAAGTGATTTGCATGAAATGCATGTCCAGGGCAAAGTCATTTACTCTGTAGAGGCAAGTTTTTTTCCCACTACAACACCCCTTTTCCATTTTGTTATTTCACTTATAAACGGACAGAAATCAGTAGTATAGCTTCTTGCTAAAAGGCATTAATTTTATTTTATTTTTTGGAGGGAAGCAAATATCAGAAATTCTTTTGATTATGAAAAATATTACTTTCTGATGGTTATTACTTGTTAGCAAGCGAGGAAAGAGAAGCAGAGCAACAAACCGAGCAAATGGCAAAATCAACATCTAGCAGTCATGGAACAGCGTAGCAAATTACTGCAAACTTATGCAGATGAATTACCGTTACGAGTGGGATGGTAATCAAGCCTTATGCAGGTGAATTACAGTTATGAGTGGCTGGATGGTAATCAAGCTAAAGTAACCCAACACACAGGATAGGTATGCACTGGCTTGGGCTATAAAATCCAATTGTCTCATGATAAGCACATGAATAAGCATAAATTTCCATAGTCCAATCAGTGGGAACAAGAATATAAACAAAAATTATAACATACCGAGTTCCTCAACCTCCCATCCCACACGCCCAACGCCAGGAGTGCCAATAGTCACTCCAGCTTGCTGTGTTTTCGCACGGAATTTTTTCTTAAGATTGCCAAACTCATCATACATTTCACCATCATCCTGATATCATGAAAAAAAAATCTTTAAATGCCTTGGATAAAAATACCAACAATGAACTTCTAAAGTAAGTGTGTATTACTTCTTCAGCCTCTCTTCTGCGCCTCCTAGTCTCTTCTATTTCTTCTTCATCAAGTTCTTTGTAGCCTCCACCACGTCCTCCTCTAAATGAAAAGATGCAAAATGGACAAACATCATTACTCAGTCAACAGCTGCAGGAACATTCACATCAAAGACCAGACCCAAAACCCCACATCAACCCTAATAGAAGTGGAGAAAAGGAAGAAAATTAGAGCAAAGATGATAGTAAATGTTCAACGAGTTTAAAACCACAACTGAAAACAAATTTGTTATGGGCCATAAAAAGTTCAGAAAACCATTTAAGATCCTTGATGGGGAAAGGCTGGTTAAGCGCATTCAAAACTCTCATGGTTACATATAAAAGCGCAAGGAAACAAGTGATATATGCTAAGATTCTAGCTCATGTCCATGAAAAGAAAAAACATGCTGCAGAATAAAATACCTCACACCGCCCTCAGTATGACCAGGTTTATTCGTGTTGCAGATGTTGCATTTCATGCGCTTTGCCCAGTTAATGTTGCCACACCTAGACGAAAAAGTAACAAGCATTGGTGAAAAAAGCAAAAACATTATGGCATGTTTTCAGCAACTGAATGATTGGATCATGCATGACAGTACAAATAATACAGAACATGACATCCACGTCAAGAGCGAGTCTTCAAATAAACCTTGCATCTTCTTGAAACTGATATTCAGCCATGGATAGTGTAAGACAGTGGAAAAGGAGTAAAGGGCCAAAGGGATGATAAATTCGAACCACTTGGACACTAAATGCTTGCATTATTATGAATAACAAACAACCAGAGGGGAGAGAACAAAGAGCGATTTGTGAATGCACTGGTAGACACCCACGCCTGCATAATACATCAAAGTGCATCCATGGCAAAATAACGCTACATGAACAAAAACATAGGGAAATTTATGCCCCAAAATTAACAATAATTCACTACCAACAAAGGCTTTACTACAGCAGAACAAAATTCTTACAATGACCTTCATTGACATATCCTAGTGAAATAGATTTAGCTCTTCAGCCACTTTTCAAAAAAGAAAACCAAGCACAAAAGATTCCAGCAAAATGTGAGTTCATTGTATTAAAATTCAAAGTATCCAATTATTTAATAAGAAACTAGTTCGCAAATTAGTGTATACAGAACATTCTGTTGTGATTTGTTATTGATATTCATAGGGCAATAGTACTTAAATTGCATACATCTTTGGAATAACATTTTCCCAGCAATTTATAATAATATCGCATGGAAAGAACCTAAAAATCAATGTTTTAGCCAAATGCAGGAAGAAAAACATTTTCCAGCAATCACTGAAAAGTCCTGAAATCAAACAACATAATTGGTCAGCACAGCCAGAGATAGTAAATTCATGCCTGAACTGGAAGAAAATTGTTGGTACCCAGGCACCAAACATATACATCAACATTTAACTAATGTCATCCATACACAATGTCCTTTGTCTCAACAGTTTCCTATTTTCATTTTGAGTCGTCAAAACTTCTATTTACTTGGGTCAAAGTTTAAAAAGACTCGATTGGGTACTCACGCGTTTTGTAACAAAAATATACTATAAAATCCATAATAAAGCTATATTAAAAAATTGAAAAAAATACAAAAATATGCTCGTAATATACTATAAAATCCATAATAAAGCTAAGTAACAAAATTAAAAGTCCAACTTGTAAGCAAACATAAAACAAATCAAGAAAATAGAAGATAATAAGTTCTCAAATTAGTAATTCTTATATTATCACTACCAGTATGATCTTTAAGGGAATCATTAATGTCGTCGTCATCCTCATTATAAGTTTCTTTTCATTCTTTGACATCATCCTCCAATTACATTGGTGTATTCTCCTTCCCATTTTTTCCCCGTGTAGGTAGGAAAAAAAATGAAATAGAAGAACTTGTAAAACATTTCAGGTTACAAGGAAATAACTCAAAAGGCTAAGGTACATAATTAAATGTTTGAAAAATGCAAGACAAATGGGAAAACACCTTAGTTGGCTTGAGGCATAATGATTAATTGACAATTTCAATTCAAATCGACCCATCGATCTATTTTCTACTTTCATAAGAGTGCGTCTATTTTTTGCTTTACGAATATGATAATTTTTTGGACATTTCAAATAATATAAAGTCTTATTCCTATTTTGAAAATTTTCATTTTCAGGGTTTCGGCTTCGATTAGGAAAGGAAATGAGAAACTTGAGTTCTGAAGCATGTATAGAACCAAGCTCACTAGGTCAAGGTGTTGGTATCAGTAAAACGAGGCGTAAGCCTCACAAATGAGCTTAAAAGTTCTCGTTTTGAAGCATTTTATGATAGTTTCATATAAGGAAAGATTCGAGGTGTATGCCTCAAATAGTTTTTTTAAACCATGACTTGGTTAATGGGTCTATCTATTCCAAATAAACCATATTTCTATCTTTAAATAATACTTCATAACTTCAATATTAGGCACTAAACCTTATAGTTGTTGAGCACAGACAAAGATGATAAAATTCATACCTAAACTGGGAGAAAATTGTTGGTGGCTCAGGCACTCAACATATACATTAATATTTAACTAAAGTTATCCATAGACAATGTCCTCTAACTTTTTGTCTCAACAGTTTTCATTTTGATACATTAATACTCCCCTTTTTACTTGGATCTATATCTAATCATGATATTTTATATTTCTAACTTCAGATAATACTTTGGGTCTGTTTGGAACAGGTGTTGTGAGTAGAGCTTTTAGCAGTAGATCCAATCGATCTAGAGCTTTTGGTAGTAGAGTTTTTATTAAAAAGCCAATATAAGTGTAAATCCAAAAAGTGCTTTTGTATGAGCTTATATTTATTTAACGAGGTTAGAAGTTAGATTTTTATTTTTTTTTGATATATTAATGTATATTTTGTTGATTTTAAAGCTTCATTAAATGTTAATTACAATTTCCCGTAAAAGCACAATTATAAATTTTTATAGAATTTCAAATTTTAGAGCCTCTTTGAGCCCCATTTTCAGCCAAAAATGCATTTCGGAATAGTGATTTGATGGAGAATATATGATTAAAAGTGTAATATTATTTTATTTAAGAATGTATGGTTGAAAATAAGAGAGAGAAAAATGTACTTTTGAAATAATGAGGACCAAACATGGGCTTAGGCTTCTTTAGAACAACTTTTTTAAACTGCTGCTTTTTTTGGGTCAAAAAGTGCCTTTAGCCAAACAACAAGCACTTTTGACCTCCACAAAGTGATTTTAGGCTTTGGAAAAGCCCTTCCAAACACATCTTATAACTTCAATATTGGGGTGCTGTTCAACATGTATAGGAAGTCTTGTGGCAATCAGATAGCAAATACTCTTTGTTACAAACACTAAACATAACTTTCTGTCTTGATCTAAGAAAGTAAAACTAAAAGGAATTAACATCCACTGCATCTACATTGTCCAATTGAGAAATTAAATGAGTGCTTACGTCCTAGTGAAGCTATTACAGGTGTAATAAACTACATCGGAAAAGGTGAAATTCAAGACCTAAGCACCAAATAATATAGCACGGAAAACGTGTCAATACTTCCTACCTCATAAAAGCTATGTGAATCTGAGGAAAAAAAAAAATACTATTTGCTCAAAACAAAGGTAAAATAGCAAAGCTATATATGTTCTTACATTGGACAAGGCCAATCATTTGGACCAAAAAGCCCTCCACCAGTAGCACCAACTGCACGAGTATTGCCTCCCAAATCCTGGCCACCGCGGCCCCTTCCTCGGCCACCACCCCCTGAACCGCCACCAGAGGCACCAGCAGGACGGGCAGTTCCACAACGGTTACACGCACCTCGGAACGCAAAGTTTACATTGGAACAGCTGCTTCGAGCATTAAAGTATAAGAAACCATTTGCATAACCAGATTTTAGGTGAATCATGAAAAGATCAGAACAGGATAAATAAAAGCAAGAAAGAGCTGCTCACCAATAATCACATCACAGACCTTGTATTCGGACACTGCCAATCACCCTCTTGTTGCCATGGCTTCCCCGAAGCATCGCCTAGCCCTTTACCTCTTCCACCCCCATCATTCACATCACTAGCTCCTTCCTCCAGCCCACTAAGATCACTTCCAAGAATTTGATCGCCAGCATGATTCCCTGGGTCACCTTTGCTCTTTGACTCGGCGAGAAAGACTCCAATTGTGGCTCCATGAAAATCTTTATTGTTGAACCATTCAACAGCAGCTAATGCAGCATGTGGGTCCTCATATGTGACAGTAGCATCTCCTTTCGGCTCATTCGTCACTTTGTCACGGTATAACCATATCTTGGGACTCCCCGTTCGTTTATCTTTCTGTAGAGATGTAACTTGAGTTCCTAAAAGCTATTAAAAATGACACACATGCAATACACCTGTGTAAACACTAACATATGCAGATCTATTACCTTAAGAGATATTAAAGAATTGTTAGGTGCACAAGCCATCCATGGCTATGAGGGAACTTGGTATATAAAACCCGCAGGCATGAACACATACATGACATTTGTATAAACATAAATACAAAGATAAAAGACATACAAACAAACAGCACACAAATTACATAGATTTACTAGTACATTTATGCAAACACACGTACAGGAGCGGAAGACCATGCGAACTAAGCAAAATAATGGATATTCACACACCACTTACTGGCAAAACGAGAAATAAAGTTAAGCGAAATTACAAACAGTACCCGATGGAAACCATACCTTTAGCAAGCCAATGGTACCAAAGTGTTCAGCTAACATATTCTCATCGGTTCCAAAAGGCAAGTTACAAACGTAGACAGAACCATTCGTGGGGACTCCCTTTCCTAAATAGTTGGACATTGTGTTCCAATTTCATGAAGCGCCACTGCTAACAAAATTAAAATTAAAACAAAAAAAACCCACAATTACCCTAGCTACATAAATTTCATTGGAAAAACAGAAAATAATAATTCAATCGTTCTTATAAGCAGCAGCTCAATTTAAATTGGTTAACGTGTATTTATGAAGAGTAAAGTAACACAGTGCCATAGAGTTGGCTGGAGTAGGGTAAGCCTTCTAGGGTTTTGCAGATGAGGAAAGGATGGGAAAGAGAAAAGAGAGAGCTCACCTCTCACCGCCAATTGTCGCCGTCGGTGGTTCAGAGTGAAACAAATATGTGATGTTTGCGCAGGGTAACGAATCGAATCCAATCGATAATTGAGTGTGAATGTGACGACAACGGGGAGTAATTTTGCTGTAGTTTGGGTCACAAAATACGGGCTTTTCTAACCCGGCCCATGAATGAAACTTGTTGGAACTGAAACCCGTAAGAGGAAATTACACACGTCCCTATTTTCTAACTTTACTTTCTATTTAAAAAATCAGAATTTAAGTATATTCATTTAAAACTCGAGTTATAATTAAATTTTTAATATTAAATAATAATATGATATTACTAAATAATAATCAATAATATATTGGGTAAAGTCATTTGTACAGAAAATGATGACACCCGAGCTTACAGATGCGTATGTTACGAAAGATGAGCTGTTGGATAAAAAATATTTTTTTATAGAAGTTGGTGTGAGATGGTGATAAAGTGTAAATTCTATAAGTCATAGTGTAAACGGGAATGTACATGCAGTATGATTATAATAATGAGGATGTACATGTAGTATGATTTTAATATATTACCTACATAATCGTGCAGAGTAGGAGAGGGATTATCCAAAATTTTCAACAGATCTATTACAGGGACAGGATAAATGACATGGTTTGACAAAATTTCATTGGCAATTAAAAAAAATAAAAGAAAAAGCTGCCAATTAAAAACTACTATTTCAGCAACTGAAAATAGCCTACGCAATTGACTATGTGCAACCAGTTTCATCTAATTTTCATATAGAAAATACTTCTTGTACATAATGGGTTACACAATGATGAAGTGTTAAAATGTAAATGGAGAGGTTATTTGATTAATGAAATTTTGTTCCAATTAAATTTTGATCATTACGTAAATAATCATGCACATGTATTACAACGCAAAAAACCTCCATCTTCTCACACACTAGACAGTCACCAACTTTCTCTCTCTTAAATTTGGATCTCAATATAGGAAGCTCTAATCCTCCGCTTTTGAGGAGTTGTAACCAGACACTCGACGACGTCGACAATCAAAAATGATTACAATACTTTTCTAAAGCAAATAAATAATAACGACACTCAGATTTATGAATGAAAATCAGTGTCAACCGTTAGCAAATGGGTCGTCAATTCACAAGTTTTTCTTCTTTTTTGTTTTCAGCAATTCAGTAATACCATCAAATGGTTTCATTTTCCTCTTTTCATCCCTTGGTCACAGGTTGTCTTCTCTCCTTGGTTGTCTTGGAAAACCCATTGAACCTTCATTCATCTACCTTCAAATCTAATAAAATAACTCCAACATACTCCAAATTCTTCAACTGAAAAAATACTCAAGTTCCCATTTTACGGTCCCGGTCCCGGTCCTAGTCCCTGCCCAGTGCACTCAAAAAGTCTTGCAAATTCTAGCAATATCTTCAACTCATCTCTACTTATTTAAGTGAGTAACCTTCAAAGTTGTTTTTTATTCTTTTTTTGGTGGTTTGTCGTTTGTGGTCACCTAGTAGTTTGTTTTGGATTATTTTTGTGATTTGTTTACGATGTTATTTTGGATCGATGTGATGGCAGCAGTGGTAAATCATTGATAAATGATTCATTTTAGTGGATTTTAGGTAAAAATAGGTGGTGGTGGTGGTGAATGGGGGAGACTGGAGGAGGTGTGGGTGGGGTTTGCGGGTTTGGTGTTGGAGGAAGAGGTGGTGATGTTTTGCAATGAAATGGTGGTCGTTGTGATGGTCTTGGCGACGACGACAAGTTGACGGATGCGAACAAATTGTTAAAAAAATAAAAATAAAAATAAATAAATAACAACAATTATTACACATGTACATTGTAACGAAACTTGATGGTGTTCCAGATCGGTAAAAGATAACTAAGGTCACGGCTAATCCACACTTCAAAGTTGCATGTTCAATCAATGTAGCGTCCTACAGTGTGGATGATTTAAAGTCATAAATCATTGACAATTAAAATGTTATGTATAGAAGTATGCGTAAACAATTTAAATTGAATGCATTAGTCAGAAAGTCTCATTCTATACACAATAAATGAGATAGTCAACTTCATATTTCATGTCATAAATAAAGTATCATACAGGCATTTGGATTACGCAACCTCAACACAAAAGATCGATGCAAGCTTCGATTTGACACTGGCTAGATATAGTTGTGACTTCATTTTTAAATACAAGTTTTGATGGACGCTCTACAAGTTTTGAAGGTCACACTAATGTATAGCAAAGTCACACAAGTTAGTCACACGAAAAAGACTTGAACATTGCGTTGGACCGATTGGTCAAAATAGAAAAAACAAACTGTTAACATGAAACGAGCCTCACTTTCCTTGTTGTGGCTAGTCACTTTAGTTTAGTTGAATGAGTTTTTAGAGGTGAAATCAAACCGCCTGACATTTATACAACCTCACTTCCAAGGATAATCGGCCGACTCCCATACAATTCTTGTGAGAGCTGGAGAAGCGTCTACGGGTAAAGCACCGTATCCATAT